CATTCTCACAACCACCCCCGAAAACCATGAGTACAGTTGAGGACAAGTTGCTTCTGCAAGTTTACGAAACTAGAGCTATATGATGATCACAGCCTTCCACAACATCTACTACCCACTAGGCACTGGGCAGGACATCGTGAAGGATGCAAAACAAGCGGGCTTGCAAGTCCACAGAGAGATCAGCAGCACAGCAGAAAAGCACAGAGTAGGCGCATATGGGGCTTCAATGTCCAACGAAGACCCCAAAGCAGGTGGCCCATGAGCCTTGTCTGTCAAGATGGGGAGAAGCACACAGAAGAGCAATTGGCCACACAGAGCCAAAAAAAGGACCCATGGAGACACTTCTGTTGAAACAACAGGGCAGACCAGTGTACAAACCCTGCCTCGTTCAGCCAAGATACAGAAAAATCCCAAATGTCCATCAACAGATGAACAGATAAAGAAAATGAGGTATATATGCACAAGGAAATAGTATTCAGCCTTTAAAATGAAGGAAATTCTGCCATTTGCAACACCACAGATGGACATGGAGGACATTATGCTACATGAAGTAAGCCCATCACAGAAGGACAAATACTGCATGATTCCTCTTATATCTGAAGTCCTCAAAGGAACAGAAGTAGACGTAGAATGGTGGCTGCCAGGGGCTGAGGGGAGGGGGGAGTGCGGAGCTGCTGAATGGGTGGGAAGTCTCCATTAGGCAAGATGACTAAGTTCTAGAGAACCTCTGCGAACTGTAATGCCTACAGTTATAGTACAAGACTGTACTTCAGAAAATGTTTAAGAAGGCAGATCTCAGATTAGGTGCTCTTACTGCAAAATAAACAAAAAACAAAGGGGCACAAGGGAGCTTCTGGAGGTGATACATAAGTTCATTACCTGAATCGTGGTGATAGTAACATGAGTGTACACCTATGTCTAAACTCACCAAACTGTGTACACAATGTGGTTTTTTTGTTTACTGGTTTTACCTCAATAAAGCTGGGAAGAAAAAAAGAAGTCTTAACCATTTCAATGACACGAATGCAGAACCATCTATAAAAAGGTGAGCCTAGGAAGCCAGCAGCTCCAGTTGAGTTAGAGGATTAGCTAGTAAGTAGGAGCAGGATCACCCTTGCCAGACGGACACACAACACAAGAGCAGAGAGGTTTGTGTGGGCACAGAGCGAGTTGGGTCACAGACCCTTTTCTTTATCAGTTTTTTCAAGTACACAGGAGCAAGCGTAGGCAGTAACTTAACATCCATGGATACACCCTTCGGGCTTCCCCATCATTATCATCCCACCTCCTTCTTCTTCATATTATTTGCTCATTTTTAAAATTACATTGTCTCTTTTCTAATGGATTTGAAAGAGTTCCTTATACAGACGGAATGCTAATCCTGTACAGTAAAGGTATCTCAGATATTTACTTCAGGTAATACTTCGCTTTTAACGTCGCATAGTGTGTCTGCTCTTAAAGAAGTTGCTAATATTGGTGTTTAGTTAATGAGCCTTTTCTGTGCCTCTGTGTGGGTGCCTTACCTTGTCCTACCTCAAGGGCATACAGAAAATCTCTTCTATACATTTTACTATCTTGCCCTTCGTTGTCATTAATTCTGTTGGCATTTACTTGTGTGTATGATGTGAGGTAGGGATCTCATTTTCTCTCTTCCCATGTGGACAACCATTCGTCCTCCATCATTCCCCACTGGATCAATAACACATCTCTGCCACCTCCCATGTCCTGCATGTGAGAGTTTATTGGGCTCACTATCCTGTCCCACCTATCCCTCTGTCCTCCCTACACAAATACCACAAATACCACCCTACACAAATAACATCCATCAGGAATCTCATGGTCTCACCCTTATGCCAGCTTCCCCTTAACATTCTAGCATTGTGTTTTCTTTTAAGGTCTAGTAGCTGGGAATTTCACTGCCTTCTTTGGATCTTATACTTTAGGATGACTCTTGGTCAGATTTTACATGGCACTTTTCCATGTAAGAGCATGCTGACATATCAGGGAGCCATTTCCATGCACGCAATGTCTTCTAACTTAACATATTTTCTGAGACTTACCATGATTTAAACATAGCTTATTAATTCTCCCACCATTTCTTCAGGAAATCACTAAGTTTATATATATTTGGCCCTTGAACAACATGGGTTTGAAATGTGAGCCCACTCACATGCGTACTTTTTAAAAATAAATATGCCACAGTGCCGTAAATGTACTTTCTCTTCCTTATGATTTTCTTAGTAACATTTTCTTTTATCTAGCTTATAATAAGAATACGGTATATAGCACATATAACATAAAAAATATATGTTAATCGAATGTTTCAGTTATCACCAAGGCTTCCAGTCACCAGTAGGGGATTCATAGTGAAGTTTCTGAAGAGTCAAAAGTTATTTGCAAATTTCCACCTATGTGAGGGTCAGTACCCCTAACCTCCCATTGTTCAAGGGTCGACTGTAATTCCAAGTCACACATCCTGTAGGATTGATACCATACAATAGTGAGGCCAAGGATTTAATTCTCCTGGGGTGGGGGGAATAGAACACAGCCCCAAACTTTTACCGAGGGTAGAAGCATACTCCCCAAGTTCTTCTATGAGGAAATGCCAGACACAGACTCTGGGTATTGGTATTCTGATGTTATAGAATAGTTCTTTTGCAGTAGAAAAAATAAATAAATAAACCCGGGTCTCTTCTCTCTGCAGCTCTCCTCACACAGATCCATTCTAGCATAATTGACATTTAAAAATATCCATCTCGTTGCCACTTTTCTCTCACAGAAGAAATATGCTCTTCTGCAGGGAAGCTGTTGAGAATTATAATGAGTACATTCACTTAAACGGCAGTCCCATTACACCGCAGACGGGTGAGCACAACCGGAAAGAGAGTGAGACGGCTTGCCTATTGCAGCTGATTTTGATACTCTAATAGTATTTCAGGATACATAAAGATCCCACTAGGTCTTTTCTGGGCTCAGAGGAAAAAAATACCTTATACGTTAGAGGCACAACACAGAATTGCCCCGCGGCTCCATCAGGAAGCCACGACAACGCCAATTTCATTTAGATAAACTTCAAGAAGCCAATTCCACGGTGGACAGCTCCTAGAGGACCGACGGACTGCACCAGCCCTTTGACCGGGGGCTCCCAGAAGATGGGAATTTCACTGCAGTTGTGAGACCCCTTCCCCATAAGAACCTCCCTCTTTACAAGCTATCCTTGCTGCTGGTTACCCACAAAATCTCCTCCCTTCCCAGAATCCCCCCAAACTCTTCAGCATTGTCACAGCTGAGGGCAGGTGACGCACCTCCTCTATTTGAGGCCGACGAATGTTTACGAGTCTAAAATTAAACAGGATGGAAAAGGCCTCGTTGAGAGCACCAAAGTAAATTCATGAACTTTAAAGACTGACAGCCGAGGAAAAGTTCAGAAAACTGCTTGTTTATTCCTATGCCCAAACACATTAACAGTCAAGCAGCTCCGCTGACATTTCACCCTCTGCTTCCTTGGAGAGGGGCTGATTGTTCCAACTCTTCAATGTCTTAGGAATGTGTCCTCTTCCCTACTGGTAAAGCCACTGCAGAATGCATCCAGGACATCTGTGACAAGAACACCCCCCAGTACGATGGCAGGTGAATTCCTGCCCATGCACAGCAGCGTGCTCATGGGTGGCGACCTACAGGTAGGACAGAGGCTGCTTTACAAATTGAGATCAATGCATCTGCATCGACTTACAAAAGAAGCCTCTTGCAGGAAGCCCAAACAGCAATCCCAACTACTTCTGGGACCCCTCTGCCACCCCAGAGGCAAGACAGTGGTTTGAGACCCAGGTCTTGACGCTCTGGTATCCCAACCCTGCCCCTGCTGGTCTTCATCTTTACCCTCAGAATTGGCACAGAGCTTCCCCACTGGGAAACCCCAAATCTTCCACTCTTTTGGAAGTCCCCAAGCCACTTTCCTATCTGTGATGCTCTGGACTGCTGACTCCCGGAGCAGGCCTAGCCAAGGCTAGCAGCGCTCCCTCCCACAGACGCATATACCCAGGGAATCCACCAGAAGCTCAGATCTGCTCTGGAATGGAGACACAGAGACCACTCCTGGCCCAGCTTCCTCGCCTCCAACAACAGTCTGCCCTCCACGCCGTTCTCCAAACATACCCCATCTCCTAACACCAGCGACCCCACAACCAAGCCACTGGGGCTCTTCAGCCCAGGAGAAAGAGCACCTACTCATTTTCAATCAGAACACGCCTCCTGCAAGCGTCCCTCATCGAAGGCACTCAAGGGGCACCTGGGCTACAAAGACCCATGCAGATCTGCTGCTGTAGGTCCTACTCACAAGAGCAAGCTGAGTGCCTACAGTAGCCCAGTTCGATCAGGACCACAATCTAGCTTCCCCCGTGGGGCAACAGCAACACGGGCTGTCCCTCCTCCCTGAGCAGCTTAGGAGGGTTCTTTCTGATCCAAGTTAAATTCTTCCTCTCAGTGTCCTGGTATCTCACGGGGGTGCACTTCCAGTTAGGCTCAAAACATTCCCCCAGTTTAATACTGCAAGGGGGGTTGTGCATGGCATTTATTGTTGGTGATATCTAGCTACTTTTGGTATAAATCAGAATCGAGGTAGGAGTTACACAAACAAGTGCCTGAATCCGGTGAGGACTACGGTTTTCACAAGCACTAGTATAGAGAGGAGGGCACGTATGGGAGAGGGGGATGTTGCCATTGTCTTGGGGGTGGTGGCAGGGAAAGGTGCCCGTTCCAGGCAACATCAGTGCCCGCAGACAGCCCCGTGCTCCCCGGCTCCTTGGCTGGGAATCAAGCCCCAGCCTCAGGCCCCCTGTGGGCAGACGAGTGCTGAATTACACATCCACAGCTTCCCAGAAAATAAGGAACTGTGGCAAGTGCCCAGTTCCACCGGAAAGGTCATGTCCCTCGAGTAAAACAATTCCATTTCACACATGTCCGAAGCAAAACCTCACTCCATGCAAGGTAAAATTTCTTACCGAAAACAAGTGGTTTCGTAATGTCCCCCAAAACCTGCTGGTGACGAAATCTTTCTGGAATAAAACAGAAGGAAAGAGAAGAAATTACTTGGGTTTCCAAAAACACATGGGTGTTCATACAGAGCCCTTTCAAATACAGACATCTGAAGGAGTGAGAGGTTTTGAATTACCTGGAAAAGTGAACCAATGATAATTCTAATGAGATGATCACAAATTACCAGAAACAAATAATTAGAATGTTTCTTTAGCCATTTCTCACATAATGATTGCCTTAAGAGCGTGGTGTTGGGCAAATAAAGCCATGGCTTGTGTATCCCTCCGGAAGGAGAGACTCTCCGCATTTTAATGAAGCTCCTCAAAGCCCTCATGAATATGTATTTCCCCACAACAAAGCTTGACCCCACCAGTGTGCAGAGCCGGTATTCTGGGACACTTTCAGAAGGAGGTGGGTGTGCCTGTGGGGGCTGGAGAGGGGTGAAGAGAGATTAAAGCAAAGAGAAAGAAAACCGGGCCACCATGCATTTCCTATGCGCAAGTTCACCGTTCTCACCCTTCCTCTTGGGCAAGGGGGCTTCACAAAGAGAACAGAAAAGAGGCCATCAGGCTTCGTACTCCACTTGGACAGCAAAAGCTTTGCAGATGAAAAGTGAAGAGGAAGTCCCTTATATTCTATGTTCCAGGGCTCAAGGTGAGACCCTGGGTTAGATCAGGAATTCAAGGTGGGGCAGCCGATCACCAAAGAGCGGGAAGCCTGGGGTGGTGAAGAGGAGGGGGATTTATTGGTCTTAAACATCACATCCAAATTCCTCTTTTTCCTCAATATAAAACAGTATGTTAACTATAGAATTTAAATTTTTTAAAAAATTCCTTTCTCCCTCCAATTTGGCCAAAGACACAAGGCATTATAAAGGAATGTCTTTGTTCCTTTCAGAACCACACCAATGGCAGCCTCCTCCCAGGGGCCTCAGCTACTGGGAACAGAAGGTCTAAGAGCATTTCATGAATAGCTGTGCTGGTTGGACAGTTCATTTTCAGTCTGGTCCTGGGGTCTGAAATCACAGGGAATGACATCATTCTTGGGGGGAAGGTAATATGGTCTTGCTATTGGCACAGGCAGACAAAGGTTTCTACTTTATCACACAGGTCTCTCCTGGACCCAGTGTTGCCACTTTTTTTTAATGAAACCTGATAGTGGCTCTCATTTCCCTAGATAGACATTGCTAACAGTGGGTTTTAATCAAGGAATTTGGGGGAGTTTCCTGCCACCCCAAACTGGCCCGCTGCAGACACCTCTAGTCCAGATAATTAAAAAAAGATTGGGGCGGGGGAAAAAAAGATTGGCTCTCCCTTAGAAAATTGAAGATGCTTCCATTCTGACCAAGCCTTTTGTATATGTGTAATCTGCTTGCCTCTGCTCAGGGGCAAACTGACATCCATCCACATAGCTGTTCAATTTCTTCCAAAGGTGCAGTGCTTCTGTTGCCTTTCCAATCCCTTTACACCACTGGCCCCAGTTTTATCACATGTAAAGCATGGACAAGAAGATCATTCTCAAAGTTGGTTGGGAAGGTGAAGGCCACAAGGCCTCCAAAACACTGCCTGGGAACTCATTAGCATCAAACAGTATTTCCTTCTTTATCCCCAAATTTTATCCCCAAACCCCACCATCCCAGGACCTCTAAAAAGAAGTGATGTCCGGGTTGGCATACACCCTAAATGCTATGTCCAGAGGCAAGAACCCCTCCCTGGTGGTCCTAAGACAGGGCCTCGATTCCTTACTCTTATGAACTCCAGCAGGTTAGTGAGAAGGACCTCTGTCCTCTCCCAGAATCCCCTACTCCAGCTCTGGGCAATTTTGACCAAGGGGGCTGCAGGGAAGAGCCCAGAAGCCTTGCACTGCCAGCACAGGTTAGAATTCTCCCCACTTGTCCCCTGTGTTCTCCCCTCCTCTCTCAGGTCCACAGCCACCTGCATCGTCCAGAGCCACGGTTGGGCCCATGGAAATGACCACATGCCCACAGATCTAGCTTTTCCCACTTCCTCCCAATCCAGAAGCATCCCGGGGAAACTCAGAGCTAGTCTACAGGCTCAGCTGGGCTTCCCCGCCCTGGAGGGGAGGCCTGCCCCATTGCTCCACCTGGAGGAAGGAGCCACAGCTCTTCCACTCCCTGCCCTCAGTCTGTGAGTCTCTTGAAAGGACAAGAGTCTCATTCATCTGTAGCCTGAGTGTCCCTAACATGCCCCACACAGATTCCCCACAGAGGCACAGAATCGTCAAGCTGCCTTGGGAGAAAGGGCAGAGCTCTGCACTTTACATAACGCTTTTCCATAGGAGGAAACGGGCTCACATCTTAACTCAATTTAGAATCGGTTTTTAAGTGTCTATTTATAGGCAGCAGACAAGTACCCCTCGTGGACGGTGAAGGAATCAGGGCTCCGGGCTCTGGTCCACCACTACTCATTAGCATTCTTTTCATGTTTGTCTTCTCTAATTTCCCCAGCAGCATTTTAACTCAATAGCAAGGTCACCTACCACTTGGACCCAGCACCACTTTCCATTTCCTCCAAAGAAAAATATGAATTTTCTTGGCCCTGCAGCAGTGCCCTCTCTCGGCCCTCTCGGGGCCCCTCGCTTGCGTTGGCGAAAGCAGGGTTGTGTTATTTTTGGTGAACTGTGCCTCTGGACAGACAGTTCACCTTCAAAAAAACCAACAAAGTCATGGAGCACAGAGACCTGGGAAGGCCCCTGGGGGTCAGCTGGTTCTTGTTGGCCCTGAGTCCCCCAACCTAGCCAGGGACATCCAGGGAGGGCCCGTTCCCATTCCAGCAGCTCGAACGAACACAGAATCACCTATACTTTGGAACAACCAGACTTCTCTTCTCGGCCAGGTATGGCCTGGCTGTTCCTATTTCTGCCACACACATGTCCCCCTCCTCTTTCTGCCGTCTCTGGAGGCATCGAGGGCCAGGTCACTTCCCCTGTTTCTCGTGGCCACTTGTGACAGAAATCCCAGCACCTGCTCTTCTGGTAACACACAGCCCTTTTTGGTTTTTTGCTTTTAAAGATTTTTATTTATTTGACACAGAGAGACAGAGCGAGAGAGGGAACAGAAGCAGGGGGAGTGGCAGAGGGAGAAGCAGGGTTCCGGCAGAACAGGGAGCCTGATGCGGGGCTCGATCGCAGGACCCTGGGATCATGACCTGAGCCGAAGGCAGACACTTAATGACTGAGCCACCCAGGCGCCCCTACACAGCCCTTTTTGGAATAACCTCCTCGTCCTTACCAAGCCCCAGGATTGGTACACAATGAAGTAGACAAGTGTCCCCATAAGACTTAAACACTCCGCTTTCCAAGTTGCTGGCCCACCCACAAGTTATCTGGGGAAGAAGGAGGGTAGCTTGTCCTGTATTGCAGCTTCCCAGGGGAGGCGGGAAATACAGAGCCCCAGGAGCCTGGCAGATTCCACGAAGGCTCCTTCTGCCAGCATGTTGAGGACTGGATTCCCGGGGGTCCGGAGAGCTCCCCTCCCCCACCTCCTTTGGAACCAGTACAGAAGGGAGGGCAGGCCCTCGCCGGGGGCACTGAATCCACAGCAGAATTCAGGCACAGAGAATCCTGCCAGGGAACAGCCCTCCAGCTGCCTGACTTGAAACACCACACGGTTCAGCTCGCTTACAACTGTTGTTGCCGAGGCGTCGGTATCTGGTGTCAGGATTAATTAACTCTCCCGCATGATGCCCACTGCAACTGCCATTGTAGATTCTGTTATTCGACATGCACATTTCTGGCAAATCAGTTGGAGCTCTGATCACACAGGGCCTTTGAAAGGCCGCCTTTCCAGACACTTGGGAGGTAAACAGAAATCCTAAACATGGCTTCAAGTGGACGGTTCATAAATTTGCTGCTTCCCTTTGGTATTAGGTCAGGGGACGCATTGGGAGGCTCCAACTCCAAGAGCCATCCTTGGGGCCCCATTAGCAGCCCACATGATTGAGGAGGGGGCCCCCGAGACAGGAAACCCCAAAGGTGAAGAGAACCTACATGGGCTCTGAGAGAGCAGCTCAAGCAAGCCTCCACCCAGACCGCGAGAGGGGGACCCTGCAGCACGGACGGTGCGGTACCAGGGGACGTGGGGGTCACAACCAGAATTTATAAGCATTTTCTTGGCAAAGTGAAGGCAACACTTGCAGTTTGATGGGCTCCCAGCCCTGCAAGCTGTCCTGGGAGGAAGCCTGGCACAGAGGTGGACAGAGATGGATGTGACCAGAGCCAGGCAGGAAGTCTGCCTGGAGGTCAGAAGGCTCATCTCACAGCCTTACAAAGTGGCCGGGGACCTGCACAGCGGAAGCACATTTCCTTGAACCAAAGAGGCAGCCCTGTGCTTTATAAGAGGCTGGGCCCTGGGCACAGGGGTTTGGGGCTGCAACTGGATTGTAGAATAAGTAGAAGAATTTGATGAGCCATAATGACCCAGATTCAGTGAAATGCTTGCTGATGAAAGGCTCTGGCCACACTGAGCAAAGGGTCTGGGGATAGGGCCGGGAAGGGTCTGCACAGAGAACGGTGGCCAGAATGATGGGGGAACAGTCAGGACGCATCAAAGGCAGGGCCCATGAGTGGCTCCCTGCAGCCAGCTCGGGTGTGGTTCCTTCTAGTACCAGCCCGGTGGCTGCAGCCCGCACTGAAAACCTGGAGCTTATGGGATTGTCAGTACCTCTGCATGATGTAGAGCTTGGAATAGGAGTTTACACTCCTGTGACCTTCATGGGCCAGCCCGGGGGGCATGGGGCTCGTCTGCACTGAGCTGTCTCCCAGAGGGGAATGGGCAGTTGGCAGAGGTCAGCATCTGGCAGAGAAGCTGCTGCATGAAGAGAATTCCTGGGAGCCAGTACTACAGCTCCGCCAAGCTGCCCCAGGGGGATGGAGCATGAAATAGCCCAGTGTCCCCACAGGTGTGGGTGGAACCACAAGGGAGGATTTTGTGGGTATGTGAATGTTCCCCAAGTTTACTGTGGGTCTGCTGCTTCCTGATGGGAAGGACTCACCAGGACAG